TTTTTGCTCTTCCGACTCAAAAGGTTGCCGACCCCTGGTCTAGAGTGATGACTGATGCTGTTTGTGGGGCGGAGGGAAAAATTTTAAAAACATGTAATTAACAAGAATATGCGATATATATTGTCATCGTCTCCCTTATCGTTCAGACTGCCGAGCGGTAACAATCAATGACATGTGGAAGCAGTTGGGTCATAGATAGATGCCTCGTTTATAACAACACAACCCGTTTATTACACACGAAAGAAGCTTACAAGATTTCCATGATCTTGAAAGTTCTACGTCAGCTGTGGCCTCTGGGTCTTCCTCTGTTTCCAAGATAGTCCCACTTTGAAGGAGTCTCTTGTTTGCGAATAAACAATTCCATTGATGTCTCAATGACTCTGGGATGATGCAGTCGACTTCCGTTGATGGAAAGTTGTCGATCCTAGGTCGGGAGATGGAGAAGAAGATGGGCACAAGACACACACAACAATAGATCCGTCACTTGGAACTTTCAGAAGAAGCCATCTTGTCCTTGAATTTCCGGGGTTTTATCCGTTTTCCTCCGATTTCCCTTTCAGATTGGTCTCTCCTTGTCACCTGATGACAATTTGAAACCTTTCGGGGTGCGGGAGAGGTCAAAATCAAAGTTTAATTTGATCTCCAACCGGAGATGGTCGATGGACTTACATTATTCTATTGTTTAAATGTTAGCCTCACGTTTTCATACAAAAAAAATCTATTTCTAACTACTATATTTTTTCTTTAAAAAAAATTATTTTAACGCAAATTTTAGTGAGGGTTCGGACCTGTCCAGAGCCTCACATGTTACAGCTGCTTGAACAATCACACTGTCTTCCCATTCTATCATCACTTTAAATCATTCACTGTCTGCTTTGCAATTCAAAATCCATTCATGTCAGTATTGTCTCATTTCCTCATAACTCCAACCCAAATATTGGGCAATAGCTCAATTTGCCCATCCACCCTCTTTTAGTTGAATGACATGTCCTGTTTCAAACTCCATCATATGTTTGTAGTGGGTGTAAGAACGCCGATTGGGGGGGAGATTTTTTCCCTACCGTCAGAATGATCTAAGGTATACGCGTATGTGGGTGGCGGTTTTTAAAGGCAGCAAAGACAAGTGTTTTACAGATGCAAACTGTTTATTCTGAATGAAATTGCTTACATAAATTTTCTCGTTGGAAAAGTCTTGCATCGTGGGGAAATTTCGACGTCGATTCTGGTCTTGCATCGTAGGGATTTTCGGCAGCAATCTGGTCCAGCGTCGTAGGGGCCCCTGGACAGTGTTGAACAAAAAGTTCGAAGTCTTGAAAGTCGGTGCACAAAAGATGAAAGGATGCACGAAAAAACCAGAGATACACGAACACAAAAGAAGTCTAGTGAAAGTCTTAGTGGAAGTCCCATTGTCGTTGGAATTGGTGCTTCTATAAGTTTTTTTGGGATCAGCCTTTTGCTAATTGGATAGACCTTATATTGTATCACCGTTTTCTAATTGGTCTTCCACCTGTCTCCAGGTGTAAATGGAGCTTCGTAAAGTTCCTGAGAAAGGTCGGCTGAAGATGTTTATCCGACACCATCCTTTCGACTCTGATCGCATTTAATTGTTGACTATGACACCTACGCTCATTTTGATATTTCTTTAGTTTTGTTTTACCTCCTAAACTGCGTCTTAACTTTAATATTTTAAATTTTCTTCTTTTATATCTAAAATTTTGTTTTTCCCGTTATTCTCTGAGTGTCGACATCAAAGTCCGGTGTCACCGATTAGACACTTATATAATTTGCTTTCTTGATGATTTAACTTAGCAAGTTTTTTCATATCTTTCTTTTCGGGGGGCTATTTCCGGAGCCTCATATGGGTATGAATTTAATGGTGAGAGATTGTTCACAATCAATGAAAATCAGTGCAATCAAATTCCACTGGAAGTTCGGTCTCTCAAAGAATCACTCTTCAAATACACAATCATTATGCACACTTCCATGTGCTACAGCTTGGACAATTCATTCACTGGCTGTTAATTTTTTTATCATTTGCATTTTCTGTTGAAAAGTATTTGAATATGAAATTTCATTGCAATTGGATTATTTTTTGGAGTGCATCAAGTTTTTGTGAAAGTGTATTAATGGAAAGAGGGTTTCAGTTTGACTTAATTTGAGTAAACAGCTGGGACTAAAAGTATGGTTCAATGTATCAAAGCTCTTACCCTATAGATGATATTGCTGAAAAGCGATTTCAGAAAGGTGCAATAGTTAAGACATGGAGGAGTGGCAAGGTACTGTATTTTTGCAGTTTGTCCATCATGTTGGTCTATCTATCTGAGGGAGACCATGATATTAGATATTTACATATGGTAAAAACCAGCCTGCCAGTTTAAGTGAAGTTATACATCTCTCTGTAGAGGGCATGTTAAAAAAAATGGAGTTACATCATGTTTATTGCACTCCAAATTTAATTAACAACTAGTTTTGTTAGATCTGATTAATTTTATTTTTTAGACACAGTTTAACTAGTGTGCTGGTAATCCTGGGGTTTCCAATATGCTGGTCTCCCCCATTATTTGCAACATGCCGGTCAATCCATGAAAATATGATGAAATGTTCTATAGAACAAACATGTCAGTCCCATCCACTTGTTAACTTTGGCCCAAGCAAGTTTTTGATTTGCCATTTCATTATTGTAAATACTAAAGTCAATAAACATATATTTTAGTTACTAATATCAATGTTTTTTTTACACTCTTTCAACTCAATGTCACTACAGGTAATTCAAAAGCCTGAGTAACAATAGGCACATGTAGCTAGATGTTTTATATTTCAAAGACAACTTAAAAACTGAAATGTGTATTTGATGTACAGAAGAAAAAAAAATCTGTAAAAAGGCATAAAAATTGTTTTATTTACCTTACTTTCAAAGATATATTATTTGCTAGTTAGCACTTAAATCATTAATAATTGTCAAGTACATAGAACTTTTTAATTATAAAAGTAATTTTTAAACAACATAATTTATAAGAACATCCCTTAAAAATTATTTTTTAAGGAGTTATTCCTTGTGTCAATAATATATTTGGCTAGTTCTATGAGTTTGGCTAGGTGGTATGATATTAACTTCATTTGTCTGACTAATATAGTAAGAATGGAAGTGTTAGAATGAGTCTGAATCAACTTCTTATGTTTTGTTTGGGAATTATTTTTAGTTTGTTATTCTATTTATTTTGGGGTGTTTTATTTTGTGAAGCAGAGACTACCACACCTCACCTGGACAAAATTCAAAATTAACTCACCTTATTACGATAATTGCTGGTGGCAACTTATGACGTCATCAACCCAGAAATGACATCTTGGGGAGACTTCCACAGGAAGTTAAAAGAATGATCTCTTACCCCAAATTGTCATCGGAAATGCAATAAAAATTATAAAACTACTGTAAGGGAGATAAAATGAATTAACAAGATCGATTACTAGAATGACTGAAGTGTTAATGATTAAGTATGTAATAGGGTCGAGCAGGTGCATACTTGTAATGTCACCCCAACTGCACTATAAGGAGGAGACAAATTGAATAATCAAATGAGGTGGTGCTAAGGATTGAGCAAGATTGACGAAAGGCTTTCCAGTTCCAGTAACAACAGGTTTCTTGTTGACAAATTAGTAAGATTGATTGTGCTTTTTTGATATTCTTTCATATTTTGCTTGTCAGTTTTTGTGGAGACAGTTCTAAGATAGTTGTAGCTTGATTTGTAAGTCTGCAATTGTAGGAAAAATTTTGTATATATTTGTTCTGGTTTTTCGATAAATCATCTTTATTTGCAAGTTATTCTCCAACATTATTTCTTGATTGTACATATTCAAGCTTTTACTAATAAAAAAATTTTTTGCATTACATGTAGTAATTATTTCAGGTTTAGACATTAACAACAATTTGTATTCATTTTATTGTCCATGCAAAGTTTAGGCCTGGCACTTCCGAACCCTTGTTTATGTAACACACTATTAGATTATTATCTGGGCTTTTGATTTGATAGATAAGACGTTAGTATTATAGCCTGAAATATTTCACTGTAATCATTTGATAACTTTTATTTATAAAAAATGAGTATACATTAATTTTACTTTTAATAACTAATATTTTTAGCATTGAGTTTTTCCAAAAATATTTGCTATCAGTTAACTTTTCTAGAAACTTGAAGAAAAACAGTAGTATTGCATTGTCATAACCACTTTCCAGACAATTAAAATACAATCTTAACAAAGAAAAAAATGATAATTCATAATGCTGGTCACCAAATAACTATGGTATGACCTGCAAGTTACAGAATTAATTATGATTTAGAATTTTGTTATAATTATGCCAAAAAAAAAATGTAACTTACTCATATTATGAAATTGGTACAAAAATGTCTTCAGCTTTCACATTAAATACGTTTCTAGCTTACAATAATTTACATAGGAATTCATTCAATTTTATCAAGAATTTCTCCCACACCGGGTCATATACAACAAATGTGTAGTCTTTAACCAATATGCGGCGTGAAAATTCCAAACTAATATTGGCAAATGCTTTTGATGCCCCTCCTGGGCTCTTCTTCAGGCCAAATTTAATGTACTGGATTCTTAAATCGAATATTTTTAAATAAGAACGTGCTCTGTTACTAGAAGTTCAAATAAGGAAGGTAATCATGTGCTTTCCAAATTATCTATTAATTCGGAAAGGCACATGATTACCTTCCTTATTTGAACTTCTAGTAACAGAGCACATTCTTATTTAAAAATATTCGATTTAAGAATCCAGTACATTAAATTTGGCCTGAAGAAGAGCCCAGGAGGGGCATCGAAAGCATTTGCCAATATTAGTTTGGAATTTTCACGCCGCATATTGGTTAAAGACTACACATATTCATTCAATTTTAAAATTTGTTTTCCATTTATATTGGTTTTACAATATATACTTAAAAAAAATGAAATCTTATTCTATGATGATAATTCCAATAAAATACCTGATCACAAGTTGGAGAATAAGAATCTTGTTCACTAGAATTATTTTCACTAAGTGTTGTCGTTGCTTTCTTTGGAGAGCGAGGTATTCTTTGATATGGATCAGCAGAACCTATTTTGAATAGATAAAAACTTTCAATATTTATTTTCTGCTAGTATGAAATATATTATTTGATTACTATACATGTAACATATCATACAAGACATAATATAACACAATACAAATTTAGTAAAAATATAGAATTAATTATATAATACATACAGTATATGATTATTTTACTGATCTTTAACAATCTTTCAAAGTCAGTATTTTACCGAAATTTAAGTATATAGTAAAAGAACATTAAAAAGTTAAAAATGTTTTAAAGTTCTTGTTTCCATACCATCAAATTTGTGTGTAATTATTGACCATAACTGACTGATATATCTTAAAATCATATTGAAACCTGTGAACTTCCTTGTTTGTTTACTATTTCTTGAAAATATAATGAAAACTCTTTTTTTCAAAATAATTAAAATTATTCTGATAACTAGGTGAAACTGTTTTCTTTATTAAAACAATATAAACAAATTGCTTTTTTTGGAAACTAAAATTTGTTTATTAAAACACACACACATTCAACCTACATTGTCAACTTTTACTAAAGAAACTTAAAAAATAAAATATCAGTTAGAAAGCCTAGAGAATTGAATAAAGTCATGCAGATTCTTAGCTCTGACAAGAAAAGAGAAGAAAAAAGATAAACTCACTAAAAAAGCAGGAACAATTTTATTATATGGGCTTTAAATATAAATCATTAAGCAAACAAGTGAAAAAGCATGGGAATTGGATTTTAATGTTTCTATGCATTGAAGTGATTCTATTATCTTCAATAAATTAAAAGATGGCTGCTCCATTAGGCTTTTAGAACAAATATATATACACATTTTATCTAGTTATATCCATGTTGTTATTTCCAAAGATTCTATAAAGTTACACAAGGATTGGACTACAATTCTTGATCTTACACTCTAGTTGAATGCTTCATTTCTAAATAAGCAAGTTGAGCTATTTCAAATTAATCTTAAATTTTCTTACTTATCTTTCTTGTTTGTAAATAGCTCTTTTTTTTTGCATGCTCTTGTCATTATAGCAAGCTATTAAATTTATTTTAAAAAGTATTGTTATTTTGTTCAAGTTATATTTATTTAAAAAAAATTATTTTCCATTGAAGTGATTATAGGTTTTACTGCATATTTAGAAAGGGCAACAAAAATAAAATATAACACAGTAATTTAAATCACAGTTTATTAAAATACAATTGTGTGTGAAATTAGTATGAAATTCAAAAGAATTTTTCAAATATTTGATTATGGAAATCTGCTCCTCCTGAACAGTCAAAGGTCAATTGGCTACCTAGCTTGTTAAAGAGGAGTTGTATTGTCTCCCAAATAAATGTTTGCCTTGTATCCGTATAGATTTCAAGTGCAGAAGGCCATGCAGAGAAGACAGTTTCCTCCACTTACTTTTGGTAGTGTCCAGACACTTCCTTTTTGTGTATTTTAACTGGACAATAAATATTTTGTACTAATTTCGAGATGCTCTATGACTTCATAATTTAAACTATACTATCTTTTAAAGTAGTAGAGTTAGGATTTGGTCCCATGAGGAGGAGGATGGGAGTTCATAATAATTATGCCATTGAATACTCCATTACCTATTACCTATATTCTTGTGCATTTGTATTTAGCTAATATGTAACAAAAGCAAGATATAGCCTTGCAATGTTTTGTCTATACCCTGTATAGCTTGCTTCTCACTGTATGATAGGTCTGGTTTTCTTTCCCTGCTAAACTTGTTAAATGTCATAATTGATTTTGGTATTTATAAGCATATTTGCATAGGTTTTGTATTTTCCATAGTAAACTGTTAAATTTTTGAACCATAGTTAATCACTTTGCTATTTTTTTGGCCACAGGTATCAATTTCATTCTTTTGGTTATGGACATAGGAACAGGTTAATGCATTTTCAGCACCTATTTTGCATAGTTGACAATTACTATTTTGTATCATTATTTGCAGGATAATCCAACTATACATTTTACATTTACTATTAGAGGATAAATGCATTTGTTAAATATGTGCTTCACTTTTTGCTAATATTTTGAGGAGCTATAATATCTTTGTGTTTATACAGTGGTACCTCAGGATACGAAATTAATCCGTTCCGAAACTGAGATCGTATCATGAAAATGTCGTAAGGTGAATCAACTTTTCCCATACGATTACATGTTAAACCAAATAATTCGTTCCAACGCTAAAAACATACTCAAATTAAAGCCAAGTAATACATTAAAAAAAAATAACTGTAGTAAGGAAAACAAATGAAAAATGCGAATTAATGTAACGTCGTATGGTGAGTTTTTGTTCGTATCGTGGAGCAAAAATATGTTCAAATTTCATGTCGTATCCTGAAAATTTCGTATGCTGGGGTGTTCGTATCCTGAGGTACCACTGTATTTTAAAACAATTTTAATTGACTTTTCATAAAATATTTATATAAATTACATTAGTTTTAAATTAGTATCAAATATTTATAAAATTAAAAACACAAATATTGGGGAGGAATCCTACCTAATTTCCTCCCCCATATTATCCTTTATAGGATAATCAATCAATGATATAATCATCTTTTGGAGGATGAAGCTGTATCTTAAAAGCTTTATACACACAATGAACAACAATCTGTATGGACTGTTTATTGAGATTGAACAACACAGTCTGAACAGAGTCCACTTTTTGGATATAGACATTGTAATTGAGGGATTGAATATACAAATGGCTGTGTATAGAAAACCAATGGTGATCACAATGTATATTCCAATAGGATCTGTGATCCCTTTCCTTATAAAATAGCAGCTTTCAGAGCTTTGATCATGGGAGTGTTCACACACTCTTCCACCACACAGGCGTTAATGCAAGAAATAAAAAATATAGAAGAGATAGCCATTGAACATGGGTACACCAACCTTATATGTAAGTTATGTGAAAGGTACAAACATAAATTAGAAGTAGCACCTAATCTAAGGGAAAGACCGAATAGTGGAAAGGAAGATAACAGGATGAGGGTCCCCGTCACATATAACCTGCATTTAAAATCAATAGAAAATACCATTGCCAAGAAACGTGAGATCCATATAGCATACAGGAGATGCTTGTCCATTTACAGCATACTAAGGAATAAAAAAAGACAATCCAGATCCAAACAGATCACCAGGGATCTACAAGGTCCCAATAAGAGATGGCAGATCTGATAGGGAGATGGTATATGTTGGTTCAACCAAAAGATCTTTAGCAGTACATTTAAAAGAACATAAGTCAGACATACTACACAATAAATGCACAACAACCCTTTCAACTTATGCGACAGACCCAGACATCACAGCTGACTTTAACAAAACGCGTATCATCCTCACCACCCAACATCACAATCACCTCAAACTATTGGAGGCAATGGAAATATTTAATACGGGATGCAAATCCACATGCATTAATTTTAAAGAGGAAATGTCACTTTCTAAGGCATGGCAAGTCCTAATGGACAATAATATTTAATTTTATTTATGTTTATAATGTTTTAAATCTCATAGTAGCATATGATGTTTGAATAAATTGGAATGTGTGTGCATTTGGTATACAAAATCGAATGCCTTCTAAAGAAGTTCAAAGACCAGATTGCAACAAATTTAAGTAAATGTCTGAAGAAGAGTCCAGGAGGATCATTGAAAACTTTAGCACTAAAGAAACATTTTTTGCTCCAGTCATTTGGTTTGAAGTAAGAAGATTTGAAGAAATTTTGTTCTGATCTGTAATCTGTATTGTTACATTAAGTTTTTTTTTTATTAGTATTACAAAACTAATACCTTAAACAAATACTTTGACTAATTTTGGTTAAAATGATTCAAATTTGTTATCTAATTAAATACGATTCTATTTCTATTTATTTAATAATCAGAAATGTTAAACCTTAAAATAACAAAGTTCATACTAATTTTTATAATTGAAAAAAATGACAGCTTACGTTATATTACAGAAATAATTATTACTTATATTTTTTAGAATAAACCCAAGATCAGTTTAATTTGAGATGCCAAAATTTATATAAGTTTATCCAGAACATTTCATTTTTAATTTATAACTGCTTCTAAAAGAAATTACGAATAATATAAAATTAAATTTTTTGGAATAAAATTATTTTAATCATTTTTGAAAAATTCATTATTATTGTATACAATCTTGACTGCAATAATAAAAAAATATACAAGCACCTACAGAACGATCTACATTTGATTTCTACAGTCCATTAAATGGTTTTCAAAGAAGCATAAAATTACCTTTTTGTGTAGAATGATGACTATTAAGGCAAGCTGGCACTTTCTTGGGGCATCCCACAGTAACTGAGCAGTTTAAAAAGCTGAAGGACTCTTCAAGAAAGTCATCTGAAATGGTTTTGGTGCAATATGCTTCATTGTGTATGTTTTACTGACCCAAACACAATCATCAAATAATTGAATTTTTCCAATTGTACTTCTCTTAATTTTCTCATGTGTTTTAAATAAAAATAGAAATGGGGATATCAATGTGAAAAATTTATGCTTTATTTAACATAATTATATCAAATTTTGATGGAAAAATACAGAGACATTTCATGACATTTCAAGTAAAAATAAATTCTCTCTCCATTATATTCTTCTTTTTGTAAATACCATAAGTAAAATGCACGAAGATAAAATGTTAAATATGTTATGTTATGTTAATAAATGTTATGTTGTTAAATACTTTATGAATTTTGCAGAATTATTCCTATACACATTGTTAATTATGTCATATTAGTAATATAAATCAAGCATATATTATATATATGTGTATGTAATAAATGCAATAATGAATACAATCAATTATTAAAAACAAAGAATAATAAACATGAACAACAAAGAGCACTAAGTTAAAATATTCATGTGTATTGTGCATTATTATTTAGATTTGAAGTTTCTTCATAAAATATAATAATTTCATGTAATTATAGCTTCAAAGTATATCAAATTCTGTTTTCAATATAAATAAATTACTGC